AGTGTTGATTGTAAATGAAGATTAGTAGGTGCACTCATAAATTGACTCAACTGATTTGCTAATATGGCTGGGTATGAGACAAGTATATAAGACGGCCTTCTATACGTCTATACACTGTAGGATCATCCAACAAAGAATCATTATTAATCGACAGTCTAACGACATGATTATAATGAGTTTACCACCTTGATGAGGACTTAAATCCTTTATTTTAAAAGTATCATCCAATATCACATCATCAATTTCGGTTAGGAAATCACCTGCCAATATCACATCATCAACCTATATCAAAACAACAATGAATTTACCACCTTGATGCTTTGTAAATAAAGCATAATTAGACTTAGATTGAATATAATGAGTAGCTAAAAGAAACTTAATAAGTTTAAGATTCCATGGATGACTAGCCTGTTTGAGGCCATGTAAAAAGGCATTATTACATCTAGTTGGTGTAAGTATTATTATAGTTAAAAATGTATCAAGATAGTCTAATTCAGGAGTTGGGGTATATCCTTTAGCTACTAGTCGAGCCTTATAACACTCGATTTAACCATTAGGACGTAATCTTACCTTGTAAACCCACTTATTACTAATAGCGGGTTTATCGGGTGGAAGACTGGTGATAGTCCAAGTGTTTGTAATAGCACTATTAGCTATAACAAACTTATTGTGATGGTTTGAAGAGATAACATTACAATAAGGATATCTGATGTCAGAATCCAGTAACACATCATGAGACACATAATTACCAAATCTTTGAGGAGGACAACTAGTTCTATCAGAACAACCCAGGGGAGAATCCTCGTAAATCGGAGGGTACTTAGGTGGTGCAAGTAAATCAAAAGAATCTTTCATAGAAGGAACAAAATGTTGGTTGGGTTCAATATTGGAAGGAAGAAGAACCAACACATGGTGGAACCTCAACCTTAGTCTGTGATGCTATTAATGAAAATACAAACTCACTAGGCTCACGTTGTCTTATCTTGGTAAAGAAGGGGAAAATATGCAAATGGAAATCACATAACGGGACTCAATCATGGAAACATTAGCAATATTATATGGCTTATACCCTTTTGTTGCAAAAGGAAACCCCAAAAATACACGGGTAGGCACGTGCTTTGAACTTAGGACGATTATGAGCAAGGTTTGATGCTTAAACAAGACATCCAAATACTCTAAGAGATCATAATCTGGTACAACATAATGAAGAAACTCATGCAGACTCTTGTTATCAAGTAACGGAGTATGCAAACTATTTATTAAGTATGTAGCATGCATGACAGCTTGACCCCTAAATTGAGAAGGTAAAGACGACCGAAACAACAGAGCATGAGCAAGATCAATGATGTGTTGCTGCATACGCTCTACCAACCATTTTGTTGTGAGGATGCAATGCAAGTCATTTGATGAATGATACCGAAAGAACTATAGAATGATGGCATATTAAGCTCCTAGTCATTATCGGTTCAAATGACTTTATACGAGAATTATGACTAGGAGAGCATGCGTCAAATATACCCACGTGTTTCTTGAATAATCATCAAGTAAGTTAATAAAATATCGAAAACCGTCATAAGTTGGAACATTGTAAGGCCCCATATATCAATGTGTACCAATTCAAACATGACATATGATTTTGACTCACTAGAAATGAAAGGGAACCATTCCTGTTTGGTGAGCATTGCGAGGAAAAACAGAATGTTGTAGCTTACAATCCATATCAATCTTAAAATGTTTAGATTCAACGCATTTAATCCTAGAAAAGAAGTATGAGCAAACAGGTAGTGCCACAAATCAAAATTTAGAACAGTAGTATCATAACAAACAAAGAACAACCATGAATTTGGAGGGACATATGAAGGCTGCAGAGAGAGAAAGAGGTGGGATTCAGAGGACAAGCAATAAAGATCTAATGTCTCTCTAGCTGTATCAATCATCCGTAGGGAAACTTGATCCTGGATGAGACAATGATTGTGAAAAATGGTCAAAGAACAAAAATAAATCTTTTGTCAATTTGCTTACAAAGATCAAATTGAAACCAAAACTATGGATCATTAGAAAATTTTAAGTAATAAATGGTCAGACAAGGCTATAGTCCCTACATGGGTAACCTGAACCCTTGTACCATTAGGAAGAGTGACAAACAGATGGGAAACTGAGGCATAATCAGTGAAAAAATCTAAAGAACTAAGAGCATGATCTTATCCCTCACTATGTACCACCCAAATATCACACGAAACACATTTAGCAAAGTTGGCAAGTACATACTTACCATTCTCCATAGCCAGATGAGAGCTTGAAGAGGAGGCAGGAGTTTCAACATTATAGAGTGGATAGTTTGTGTTGGCTCCATTTTTAACTAAGCCAGAAGTAAGCAAACTGATTGAAGGACCATCAGGTAGACTCTGAGAGGTTGTTTCTCTCAAAATCCCATACATGTTGGATTTTCTCCCATAATCCATGTTTGGAGGTGAAAACAAGGATGATTTAATCCATGGGTCCCTCATATTGTGATTATTTTTTAGGAAAGAATTCATGGGGTCTATGGATTATATAATCCCACCTCATGATGTGAGATTTTGGATAGGGAAAAAAATCCATGAGGTGCAATGACCAATATATCCTCATAACTAAAAATAAAGAAAATGACAAGCAAATGACCACTAAGGTCCATGAGACAGACTTTGAGGCTGACTCTTAGGCTAATTCGATGCCACTAGTAAACGATATTGTTGTTGAATTAGGAAAACATAATCAGAGGGAAGAGTCCTCAACAGAAGAAACATCAGTATCACTAATCATAACATTAACCTAAGCACGAAGCTTGCAACCGAGAGGATAATCGTGCTTCTTGAAGCATCACTCAACTGTGTGCCTAGTCAAACCAAAAAAAAAAAAATACACACATGGCGTTTAGACGGATTTTCCTTAGGGTTGGCTACAACACATGCTAGTGGATTAGTAGAGGTACGAGTTTGAATCTTGACTTGGCGCACATCTTGGAAAACAATGGAGAACACCTTATTAATCTGAGGGAGTGGATCCATCAAGCAAACCGTGGATCTAGCAGACTCAAATTCATTGTTGAAGCCCCGTAAAAATCTAATAACTTGATCAACTCTATTATACTCTCTACAAAACCATTGAGGAATGCAAGCATAGTGATGAATCAGTCTGTAGGTCCTCAGTTCATTTCACAAAACCCTAAAATTTGTAAAGAAAGTACTTATAGACTGAGTGGATACCTTCAAGACAATCGAAATTAGTTGATAATTTGACAAATCACTAGCGCTGACATAATATGGGTGATTGAAAGCCAGAGGTGTGTTTCTGGTTGAGGTGGTCGGAATGCAGCCATCGCCATGACTAGAGAGGAAAGAGACAAAGAAGAAGATGAAAAAATGGAAAATGGAAAAGGAAGATGATTATCTATCTGATACCATGTTAGAAGACAAAAGCATTGCAATTTTATTCCACCCAAAAGTAAAGTTACACTGTTAGTTAGATTACAATATATTACCTATATCTCCAAATAAAAAATAATTCATAATATAAAAATATTACATTTGGATCCTTATTCTCTTCTAATCTACACTAGTCTTCAACACCATGCACTAACCTTTATCTACTCAAGCCAAAGTTGGAACAATCTCCACTGTCACACATAAATTAATTCCCTTAGCAACCTTGCTACGTTTAGGTCTTCCACCAATCAAGGTGAGAAGTGAACTCTTCACTCCAAGATGTTGGCCCTCGTGCTGGACCACTGTTGATAGCTCGATCATTCAATCCATCCATCATCCTCAATTCATTCAACTCAACTCCATGCCCCTCTCGCATCTTAGGATGTAGGTAGGAGCCCTTCAATCTTTATTGAACCATGCTTCTATTCCCTCATATTCATGATCGACTCCTCGTTAGGTCATCTCCAGCACGCCGATCTACTGCTGAGTTGAGCTTTGTCGATCCTCTTCATCTCATTTTAATTCTGAATCCTTCTGTTGCGTATAACACCCTGGTGTCCCTTTTTTTTTTTGTCATCGTTGTCCTCAAAGTCATAGTTCACGATCCTTTGCCACCTTCGATTCATCTTGAATCCATGTCATCAATCTCCTTGTTGCAATTCTCGATCAATCATTCCCTCCACATCTCAGCCCTGTGCTCTCTTTTTATTCTCTCCATCTCCATGTTGCCCCTCCATATTTACCTCTGATTGTTTCTCGGCGGCAGGGCCCATACTTCCATTGCCCTTCTCCCTTCATGGTTCACTGTATGTTATAAATATGTACATGCACATATGTTAGAACCCTCATAGAACCCTAGCTCCAAATTAAGCATAGGATTCCTCGTGAAAATTTGTCTGATACCGCCCATTATGAGGGAAGTAAGCTCAACTTTGTGTTTGGCCTTATTGTGGGAGGATTAACGAGGCCCAAACTTCATCCCGAACTGTTAGATCTTATTCAAATTTTCGTAAATAGTTTTTAACTAAGCCATACATTTATTACTGGTCGAATCTAAACCCAAAAGTTGGGGTGTTACAAAAACTATCCTCTTTTTAGTTGTATTTTTATCTTCTTATTTTTTGCTTTTATATTGAAAACAATGGTGAAATGTGGTATATCTATTAAAAAGTGACTTCGTTCTTTTGAGATCTAAAAATACAAACAAATAAAATATTGTAATCGTACCATGCAAGCATTTTATTAATACATTTATGTAACAGTATATCGATGGAAAAAACCAAAAACCCCTTATTCCACTCTAACCATGCTTTGACCAATACACAAAGGCAACATCCATTTTGGGCAAATGTCGAAGAAAGAACGAACACATTAACCTTCTAGAATTAGAACATCTCATTTGTGAACGTAGATAAGTGAGAGGGAAGCAGAAGCCCACAACATCGGATCATTTTCTGGCCTCTCAAATCTAATTTCCCCTCCAAAATTGGAGTTTCTTGGAAAACTATATAACTGATTTCCTCTCCCATTTATTTCCATCATCCTTTAGAAGCCCATTTTTCCAATTCCTTCTCCATTATTCCTTTTCCCTCAAAATTAAAATTCATTGATAACTCGTCTCCATCAACACTAAAAGTTTTTTAAATAAACAATAAAAAATGGCAGCTTCATTGAAATTGACACTAACTCTCATCACCCTGATCGCCCTTATGGTTGTCACTTCCATCCCATCGACAATTGCAGCCGACGCCGCAGCTGCCAAAAATGATACCGCTGCAGGGGCCAAGAATGAGACCGCTGCAGGAGCCGAAGCCCCCAAGGCCGAAGGAAGTGACTCGCCCGCTGCAAGCCCGACAACAGATACCGCCGCTGGTGCCGCTAGTGCCACTACGGCTGGAGGATCATCTGCCGCACCTGCACCTGGACCTGATGCACACGCTGCCGCCACCGTTTCATTGCCAAGCCTTTTGGGCTGCGCCTTGGCCACAGTTGCAGTTGGGCTACTGAACTACTAGATGGATACCGACAGCTTCAAGACGGATCCAGTAGTTTGCCGAAAATACGGTGGTGTTTTGTGGTATATATATAGAAGGGAGGCCATTTGTGTAAAACGAGACGTAAAAGATAAAATCAACAACCAATTTGTTTTTCAAAATTGTATTTTATAAGTCTTGCTTTTCTTCTACTTTTTTACAAGTGTTTTCTTTGCTCTTTTCAGGAATTGGGACTTTGTGATCCAATGGTCTAAAGTGACACCGCATGTTCTTTTTTTGTAATAATTTATGAAGCAATATAATTAAATTTCATTCGAAATACTAACTTAATTGTCTTTTAGTTGTTTTTGTTCTTTTGTGAAAATAAATTGTTGTCTTTGTTTTACTTTTCCTTTTCAGTATTAGTTTTTATCAATTTGATTACAAATACAATAATCTAGCTTGGTTTTTATATGAAACTAGATAATTGTCGCACTTTGTTGCGACTGTTTGACTCGTTCACTTTAGTATTCGATTTTGTATCGAGAATGATCTAATAAATAAAAAAAACTTACATATGTCACAATTTGTAAAATAAACTCACATAACTCTATTTTCATGTTTTAATGATGAAGAGTTGTATTTTATATTATTGAAATATTTGAACTCCTTACCAAACACCTCATAAAGTATGGTTAGTGGAGTTGTGGAACCAGTTGATCGTACTGATGGGATTTCGTGAAAATATCGGTTAGTGGTTAATGGATTTATGTAAAAAATGATACATGTGTATTCAGTTTAGCTATCATATGATGTTGCGTTGTATATCAAAATATAAAAAGAATGATGTAAAAGTGTTAAAACAATTACAGCAAAGTCTTGAAAACTATAATAAAATTGGTAGTCGTTATGGTAATTCGAACCCGTCTCGTCAAGTATTACTCGACCTTATCAGTGTTGGGGCACCCAGTAGTGTGGGGTGGGGGCATGTGTAATATTTTTCATCCTGCGCCGCCTTGTCCTGCCTGTTCTTGATATGTATTATCTTGATTGATCTCAATATTTAATTATATTTCTCATATTTTTACTCATCATAAATAATATTTTCACACAATAATACTTTAGAGCAAGGTTGTCAACCTGATTTAGCCTGTTGGCCCAGTCGAGCTACTGGGTCACATCATGTTTTGCTCACTAGTAATGAGGATCTTCCAATCGAAGGAAAGTGTGATGGTTCACAATGATTGCTAATATGGTTTATCTACATGTTACATTCCTCTGACATTTCATCATCTTTCTTTAAATAAACTTTACAAATGATATGAATCTACGTCCTCTATGTAATATCAAGAAATTATAGCTACTAGAGACCGCCCAACATTACCGACTCGAGAAATTATAGCTACTAAAACCCAAAACTTTTCCCGTCTAAAGGGCCATTGTTAGGACCATAGTTGAGCGGTATTGGGATTTAGAACCCAAGGAAAGCGAACAGGCCCAACCCAAAGGGGAGGGCCTAGAAGTATCGCCGCTGCAGGCAATAAAGTAGGTTAGGCAGTTGTTCTAAGGACAAGACAAGTATAGACCACCTGACATAAAGCACTGATGGTGAAAGGAGGGAGAGATCCTCTAAGAACCTTACCTCGAAGCAAGCAGGACTAAGCATTAATTAACCACCATAGGCGGCCTATAATAGGATTAGGGTGCCTGACAGAGCATTTAATGCTCTAAACTTCACCTAACCGGGTATAAATACCTCCACACTAGAATTGATGGTAACTCAACTACTTCCCCTCACTCTAAGCACAAACACATTTTTCAGATTCTCTCTATAACTTAAGCATTGGAGGGTGTCCCGGGCGACCGCTCATGGACCCTTGTTTTGCAGGGTTCTGGAGCACCACCCACCATCAAGAATAGAAGCCTCGCTCGTGACTCATCAAACTGCCTAGTACATTCTAGGCTCAAACAACTATACTGTGCTCATGTTTGTTGTTAATAGAACCCTGATTTATGTCATTATTTTTGGTTCTTTGCAGCTAGGCTTTGGAAGCCGATAAAAAAGTACCCTTTTGACATTTGCAGATACTACATTCATGTTGTAAATCAATGGAGAGAGCCATATCTTATAAGCCTTTAGGGTTCCCAGCTCCTAATTCCACCACCCCTCTGGTATCAAACTGCAAAGGTGAAGTAAGAGGAGTTCGAGCTTGAATTCAGTTTCTTATCCATAGAAATCCGAAGCACTAGTTTGAAGGCAAGAGGTATGGATACAAGAGGAGAGAGGTGGTTTGATTTGTATGCTTCAAATTGAGGCTGGAAGGAGCGCTGTTGCAGGGAGGTTTCATGTTCGCCGCAAGTTTATTTTGTTGGTATCGATTTACATGTAAATTTTTTTTAATATTAACTGTGGGATCCATTTTTACATGTTCAAGAAAATGCAGAGAGAAGCTTAGAGCTGCTACTACAATAACAGTGGGTGGGGATGCTACACTGAGGACTTAATAAAGCAGATTTCGTTGAAGCCCATGGAGTTTCAACACAAGAACACCATTTCCCACCTTTCTACGATGGGCTACATTGAGGAGACTACATTGAAAGTGGGTATGTGTATTGAGCTTCCAGTTTGGTTTCTCTGAATTATATGATTGTTTTAGTTCGGCGTCTGTTTGTATTGTGTTGTTAAATAATTTCATATGAGATTATTGGTTTGAAATGATTGGTTGTTTAGGTGCATTTTGGGGTGATTTGTGGAGGATACAAATGCCTTGGCAAATTATGGTAGGTTTCCTTGGGGGTTGGAGATTCAATCGGGAAAGTACACGTGTGGTTTAGCTCTTCATCATATATGCTCGATCGTCAATTTCTTGTAGTTTAATAAAAAGAACTTTGGATGAATAATTCAGTTTTTCTTTGTATTAGGCTGGTCAAGCTTGGTTATGGAGGACAATATGGACCATCTACTGAAAGTGGCTCATCTGCTCAAGAAGCACCCTATTGCTGCTAAATTTAGGAGCTTTATGTATCTTTGGATCTTTTTCGGTCTTCTTAGTCTCTATAGTAATGTTGTTTTGTTACTCCACATGGATCTTGCTGTAAGTATAGAATTGGGCATTCCAAAGCCTTATGCAAGTGAAATAGTTGAATAAATCAAACCAATGTGAATTAGAATTTATCTTCTTCAGAATAGGATTACAAACACATTACATTCTCACAGATGCCTAGTGCCAATCTTGGCCACTAATCCGGTCGGATATTTCTGCGCAAGACACATGTCGATATAGGTGGACACATTATGACATGAGATTCAAAGAATAAGACACAAATGCATTGTTCACAGGTCGAATCAAATTGGCCAAATCAAGCGATTCAGGTTGAAACTCCCAAAACTCAAGTTCTGAACAAGTTTTCTTGAGTTAAGAATCACAATTCAGACCCTGTTTTGGCACTGTACAATCTAAACCAGATGCAATGGATATTGATATGACTCAATGTCAATTCGATCTCGAAAATAGGCAGCACAAATGTTGATTTAATTCATCAAAAATAATCTGTAACAACCCATTTCAGCTAAACTCATATTTCGATCGCTAGAAAGTTCGCGATTTAAAATCGAGCGTATTGATATTATTTTGACAAAAATTGGATTATCGATCGGGGATAAGCGCTGCCCAGCTATTTATATATTTGCGTCCCAAAACCCCCTCCATGTCCATTCTTTTATTTTCCTCGACCGAGAGGAAAGCTCCACCAGAGAGCGCACAGGGGACGCGGAGGAGAATTTTCCAAAGCTCAATTCTTGAGCACTAGTGATCCAAAAATCCCATAAGTAATGCCTAATTCATCTATACATCATGATTTATCGATTTAGAGCTTTAAAACAAGTTTTTGGTTCAGGAATTTCTTGAATTTCCGAGAAGCCAAATTAGGGTTTCGGAGTATCCGGAAGCCAGATTGAGCCCAGATTTCATATACGAGCTTCCTGCAGTGAGGTCATTAATCTTCTGGTTCAAATCCATGAATTTCGGCTATTATTTAGGTCGGAGCTGGAACCGCTGAATTTAGCTCCGGTCAGGGTTTGATGTGTTTTTATCGAGAATTTGATCCAGAGCCTAGAACTAACATTGACGGGGACACTGCAAGGATATTAGGACAATCTCGAATTTTGATTCCGAGTTTGTTTGAGAAAGTGAAGTTGGGGTACGGGAGGCTAGAACAGGTGTTTGAACGACTAGAACTGGTGAGGGATTAGCACGGCATACCGGGTTTGTCGTATCACGATAATTATATTGATGCTTAGAATTGACCTAGGTGAACTAGAATGGCATGATTAGGGGTGTATGAACTTTTGTGCTATATGTTGAACCCTGGATTGCTGTGTGATATTATTGACTTGCCCTAATCGATATGGACATTGTTTATGCTGATGATTGCAAACATGTTGCCATTTGTGGCTTAACTGTTGATATGACTTCATGGTTGTTCGAACAGGTGTTTTGACATGATGTGATATTGTGGTTGTATTTGGATTCACAAATGGAGGAAATAAACTTCCCAGGGTGATATTATGATGTTTAAGGAGGATGACTTGCACGAGGGTTTATCCCGAGGAAGTGCAATTATACGACTCCTGGTTATGTTGAGCCAATTGTGGCCAGGTCAAGAACATGTCCAAGTAATGAATTATGATTAAGCAAGATGAGATATGGATCATGTATAAGGATATCAAGTAAGAGTACTTTGGTCTCATGGTCAACTACATAGTAATTAGGGCTCCCTATGCTATTACTCTATTATGATATGTATGATAGTCACACCTCTCATGTGTTGGTGACTGAAGATTTCTTACGAGATATGACCACACCCAGAGTGGTGTCGGGGTATGACTACACCCATAGTGGTGTGGGGTATGTATGATCACATCCAACGGGATGTTGGGGTATGTATGACTACATCCGAAGGGATGTGGGGTATGTTTCCCGGGAGAGTTATTAGCATGGGAGTAGCCAGACGCCTATAAGTAAAACATGATAAGATGCATATGCATAAGTCAAAATGGTCGAGTCTTTTGCCTATTGGGATGTCAGATGGCTAAGGTCTGATCCTAGTGCTTTGGCTTGATTGTTAGATATATGGTAGGGGTATGCTGGTTATGAACTCACTATGCGATGATTATCTCACTCAGCTATGAGCTGACCCTCTTTATCCTTTTTCTCTACTTATGCCATGTGTAACCAGATCATCAGCAGCAGCAGCAGCAGCAGTAGATAGGTGTATAGGTGGGAGCTGAGCAAGAGTTGAAGGCAAGATGAGGTATGGTCTTCAACTATTCTATG